AGAAGTAATAGTATTAGAAATTTAATAGTTAGAAGCCCATCTAAAGAGGCCTCTATTCCTTTAGATTTTCTAAAACTTTTTGTTACAGAAAATTTCAAATATAATACAAAAGCATATTTGGAAGAAAATAAATTTTTTAAAAAAATATCTCATTGGGGAATTGGGGAAGGGGAATAATATTGGGGAATTGGGGAAGAGGAACAGCCAAGTTGTTGTCTTTCAGTCTTAGTTGTGGAGGGCNTGTCACTGTCCTGATTGTTAAAGAGAAATTGTGTGTGTGTGTGTGTGTGTGTGTGTGTGTGTGTGTGTGTATGTTGTGAGTATACATTTGGCTTTCTATAAACTTCTCTCGGAAAAGGTGTATTTTAACCAAGTCAGTGGTGAATTCTGGAAGTTAAGAGAGCATAAGTAGTTGTGGGCATAATGGATTTTAACACTTTATATGATGAGTCACAGCGATGGTTTAGCTGTGTCCTTAAGGTTACTTATTATGCTGATACATTTCTGTTGTGGGGTGCAGAGTTAACACTTCTTTGAATCATTTGCCTTCTAGTTGGACTGGAAGAGGACATGGCCCACGTTTCTAAAAAAATGGTCTGTTTCAGCAAGCACACAGCTTTTGTATCTTTTCAGTGTTTTAAAAATTATTATTTTATATTGATTGGCTTTTACTAATTATATAACGTTTTCGACATTTCCCTGGAATGGAAATAAAAATCTTGCCATCATTGGTGAAAGTCAAATGTAGTACGAGTGCAGTGGCTCCAAGTTCATTCTTCTAGCACCTTCCTTATGTCCTCCACAAACCTCACGGTTACTTTCTATGGTCTGAACTGCACTACACTACATATCCTGTTCCTTGTCAAACAGTTTTCTGAGACTGGAAGGGTGTTAGCCTTCTTGGTGAACTTCTGTTCATCCTGCAAGGCCCACTTAACTATCATTTCCTTGGGGATATCCTCCTATTTCCATTATAAAAATTAACTACTTGCTTGATACCATACTTGTATCTATTACAACACTTACCACCACTCTACTCATATTCTTATTTGGGCTCTGTCTACATCTCTGACTCATCCGAAATCAGACATGAGCAACTATTGCCCGTGGATTCCTCTATCTCTGCAGTCTAACGTGGAAATACAGATTAGGTTGGTGCTGTTTTTCCTAAAAGACACCCAGGTATTAACTTTTTTATTGGCTAAAAGAAATACAATTTTTCCACTTATAATCACTGATTGTAAGTGAAAAATTGAACATACTTGTATGTTCAATAAGTAATTTAAATTTTCAGAATTTATGCCCTACTTCCCAGCACCCACAACAGGAAACACTATTTTCATTCTGAATTTTCTTTTTAAAGTGCTCTGAAAAGGTTTTTGCTTTTTCTGAATTGGATCTCTTGCAGCAGATGTCACTTGACACTGCCCTGGATTGTGAATGTCCCTTGGGAACTCATCTGTGAATCCTCAAGACCTAACCCAGGCCAGTCATGCTGCCGACCTTCAGCCAGCCTGTCCCAAGATGAAGGGAACACTGCAGGCTGGACGGGGAGCTGCTGGAGCTCATAATTGAAGATCCTGCCAAGGACAGCTCGTCTTCAAAGCAGTATCACTTTTTCATCATTTTCTACTCCTCTTTTGGCATTAACGTATTTATAAGAGAAAGGGGTAATGGTACATTATACAAATAAATATTTTTAGAACAGAGTTATTTTAGTTTACTATAGCTATAGCATGCTCTCTATAATGTAAAGTTTTAGGTCTTAGGTTTACCCTCTGCCCTACATGTTCAGACAGTGGGTCATCAGGCACTTTATTTATAGTCACTGTCTCTTATTCCTACAGTCGCCCTGAACAGCAGGCATTGTTCATCCCNGCTTGGCGGAGGCTGAGACCCGAAAGACAAGAAGGATCCAGCCATGCAAGATCTGGTTCAGACTATTCTCCCGGTTTCAGAGACAACAGCTAGTGCACAGACCCTACGGCCAGAGCAAGCTTGTTGTGATAGGGAGCAGGCAATAAGGTCAGTGTGGCTAGAGCAGAGTGAGTGAGAGGGAGCGAGCAGGAGACGAGGCCAAAAAGGGAGGCAGGGCCAGATGTTGCTGGGCCGTATTGGCCAGGAAAAGATGTTAGGACTTTATGTTCACTGCAATAAAAAGTCATGAAAGAGTTTTAAGCAGAGATGGGCTTATCATGTATGATAAACCCATCCTTCTTCCTGGGGCTACAACAATAGTATGTGTCTAGCAATACATCAGTGATTCTCAACCAAATCCTACATTCTGTTTACTCATCATCACACTAAGGATACTAAGGTACTGTAGCACAGTGGAAGTTAAAATTATAACAAATTCACCAGAAGCTATCCCTATTGGCCTGAGAGAAATGTTAAACTTTAATTTAAGAAGTTAGAATTTCGTATACATTAATAGCTTTAATTAACAAGATAAGCCTCTCCTTTTGGGATCTGGCAGTAACAACAGCTCAATCAGGAGTGCTACTTGAATCCGTGGAACTGAAAATAATATTTTTACAAAAAAAAAGAAGCATTAACTGACTCGGCCTGCAATGTAAGAGAACTGGAAATGTAAAGATGGTATCTTTAACAAATGTCCTCCTGTTATCTTACAACTCTTGCAGTACAGCACTTTAAAAAATTATACTAAAGCGAGTTCCCAATTGAAAAAGTAAATCCCAAATACAGGCAAAATTAGCAACCCCATTCCTTGCTTTTTATGTAATAAATGATTCATGGGGTATTACAAAGATGAGGAAGCAGAGAATCTCTTTCTAATACTGATAGAAAGCCTCCCCCTTTTCATTAATCCTTTATTTTAGAGCGAAGGCCTACAAAGGGAAGTAGATGCCTGGTCTATTCCTGATAAGAATGCATCTTTCTAGGACTAGCACTTGGGATAAACCTCTTTAGCAGACGTTGTTCATGAACTTGTGCCAAGTTTCTCTCTACCTTAGAAACCGGGAAAGTGTATTTGTTCCTGATAATAATATTCAGCAAATGGAGTGAAACCAGGTGAAGTACAATCATTAATAAAGAGGGTCATTCAGTAACTAACACCCTGACCGCACTAAGAGTCCCTGTGATTAAAGGTTTTAGGAGAGAACATTAATGCCACCAAGAGCAGTCCCGGCTTTCGCGGCCATGTGTTCCCCTGAGCCTGAGCTGGGATCCTTGGAGGGACAACACTGGAGAAGAAATACGGACTGGGCTGCCTCTCAAACCCCCCACATCTGGTTTAGATTACACTTTTACCTTTAATTTCTTCAAGACTTGCACTGAGGTTACTTTGTAATACAATTATTCTCAGTTTATATCACACACAGATAACTGTTCCATCTTCCCCAATATGCTATCTAAAATCCTTGAAGTCTCTCTTATTCCCTACTCACCCGTCATATAAAAATTGCATACAGTACATGAAGGAGTGAAATAAAAAATAATTGTCTTCTGCATCACTCCCCAGAAATAACCACTGTTAAGTTTCTTGTTATCTCTCTCCATAAAAGTTTGTGGGTAAATATAAAGTTTTGTGTTATTCAATGTTCAATTCAAGAGCAAAACTTAGAACAAATAAGGATTGATAGAATTTTAAATCATTTGTGGTTCAGGGCAGTATACAAATAAATAAGATAATTATAAATTACTACAGAATAAGGGAGATACAACCGGCCTCCACCCACCACTCACACCCCCTCCGCCGCCCAGGACTTCAGCTTGTCCTACATGTGGGGGGCAGATGCAGTCACGCAGGCATAAGCCTAGGGGTCCAGCTCTGTCTCTAACATGCTGGTTGGTGGTCGATGGCCAGCCCACTCCATGTCTCTGGGTCTCAGTTTCCTCTCCTGCAAAATGAGAAGGTGTTCTCTAAGGTCCCTTGAGTCTAGGATTGAAGTTGATAACGGAGTAATGGATGATAAATACAAACAGGTACACCATAGCCAAAGTCTAAAATTTATGTCAGAAAGAAAATCACCGAGATAATCAGTGTAACAGATAACCAGGGGAATATGGATGCAAATCAGATTGGAGCAGTTGTTGTTATTATTATTATTATTATTTTATTTTTACCAATTTCCTGAGCTATAATTCACAGGAAAAACCACGTATTTTGTTTTACCACAAAGGTGCACCAAACAATATACACTGATCCTTAAGTTATTTCAGGGTGTATCAACAACCCTTCAGAAGTAGAATCAACCCATGTTTATTCACTTCTCACCAATGCAGGTGGTCTTCTCACCAGCCTCTGAAGGCTTGTGAGTATTTTTCTATTGTTAAGAGTCATAGATATGTTCAATTACACTCAACAGCTATAAGGTCACAACTGAAGAAACTAGTTAACATTTGCCACGTCAGTGACAGTGAGCTGCCTACCAGGGAAGGGGTCTTCCTGCTGGTCAGCTCACATGTGCTGTTCTGTTTGTCCTGTTCTGTTCTGACCATGTCCCTTATGCACAGATAAATATCCAGATAAATTTCACAGATAAATATCCAGAGGAATGGCGAAGTGACAAGGGAAGGACTAGGGAGAAAGGCAACAGGTGCTGAGAGCAGGTAGAACATCATCACTGTTAAACTTCCGTTTGGAAATCTGACTGCAAGCTAAAAGTAGCAGAGCCACTGATGATGGATGAAAATCTTGCTCTAGGGGAAATAAGGGAAGTGGCATTCGCAAGAGTCTGTACCAAATGTTCTTGCCTTTTCTCTCACAGGCAGGGCTGATGAAGAATAAGAGAACAAACCCTGGAGGTGGAGAGATATGGGTCCTGCCACTAGTAGACAATTACCTAGTAAACTTTGTGTCTCCATTTGTTCATTTATTTAAGAGATAGATAAGGCAGTTCCTCCATTGTGCTTAGTATTATTGTCTTGTGAAAATGTGGGTTTTCGTGGACTATCTCCAGTGAAAGACTGGATCCTTAAAAAACAATCACAAGTAAAACTGAGAAAACACACCTGCTAATGGAGCCATTCCCTACCTGAAAGGAATTCATACAGCGAAGAGATGGAGGTAGCACGGCGTTATTTCTCGATAGTATCAACAGCAGCTCCAAGCATGTTGCAGAGGGCAGGGTTAGAGAGTGGACGCTGAGGTCACTTTCCCATGAGCTGAGAAGCCTGAAACACACCGACATGGTCAATATCATAATAGCATCTGGTCATAATTATTCAAAAAAATCTGATGAAGAAGAAAATTTTCAGTTATGTGAGGAAAAAGCAATGTACAAAAAAATAAATAAAATGATTATACTATAAATACACATTTTATAGTGCTTTGGGTATACTATAGCAGATGGATTAGGCAATTTTTTCAGGTCAACGTTTTATATTCAAAGTTTAAGAGTCATATGAAATGCAGGCTTACTTGTGAGGGACCTATTTGGGGTTGGGGAGAATAATAGCTAATGCATTGAATGCTTCCCATGTTCTATGTCATATTTTATATGTAATATC